ACAATCTTTCCGGCCCTCGCTCTGTATTTCAAGCCCAGCATTCTGGTTGCCCCACTTCAGAAATCAGAATGCCTCTTTTCCAAGGTCCTAGCCACAGGAAGAAGGGATGGCACACCACCATCTGTGCTGGAAAACATTCCATTTTCTGCAGGAAATCCTAAAGCTTCTCTTCAGCTCGCTTTCTGTTCATGTATATCCTTATCAGTTGGGCCCTCTTCACTTTCTAGCACATCCAGGATCCCTGCTCCCCTCTTAACACACTGTTCCAGTAACTACACACAGAACCCTTTGGTGCCACCACGGGATCCAGGTGAAGGTCCCCTGCACCCCAGCACATAGAGAAGCCAGAATCCCTTCTCTGAAGAAGATTCATCTGAGCAATGTGCCTTTGAAATGTTTTTGATCTATGTCCACACAGAGGTTTTTCTTTGCCTCTGGATCTCTCTCTCTCTCTTTTTTTTTTCCCAGAAAGCAGGATTTATTGAGGACAGAAAAGCTCCCACAGTGGGAGCGGACCCAAAGGAGTTGTCCTGGATCTCTTTCTTGCATGCTCCATTCTTCCTAATTCTGGTATTTATTTTCCATGTCAATCACTCTTCCACAGCCCTGCTTTTCAAGAGTAAATCTAATTTGTCCCATCTTGGGTACCCTGAAATGACCAGGAACCAATGCAAACGGCTGATAAGTAAAGGTAAACAGGAAGCCGGGCACAGTGGCTCATGCCTGAGGTCCCAGCACTCTGGGATGCTGAGGCAATAGGATTGCCTGAGTGCAGGGGTTTGAGACCAGCCTGGGCAACTTGGTGAGACCTAGTCTCTACAATTAAAAAAAAAAATTAGCCGGATATGGTGGTGGGTGTCTAAAGTTCCAGCTACTTGGAAAGCTGAGGCAGAAGGATTGCCTGAGCCGAGCAGGTGGAGGCTGTGATAGCCAAGATCATGCGACTATACTCCAGCCTGGGTGACAGAGTGAGATTCTGACTCAAAAAAAAAAAAAAAAAAAGGTAAACAGGAAACCCAGTATTCACCCATATCTCACCTGAGATGCTACTGACTGACTCCTGAGCAAGGTCAGGCATCAGGAAACCTGCACCTTCACATCCTCAGGTCTTACAGAGCAATTGCCAGCAATAATTTCCACAACTCACAACAGGCGGCAGGGTACAGGCTTAGCCTATGACGAGAACTAGAGGTGAAGGAGCAGTCTGCAATGCTCTCAACACCAGTAACCTCTTTTTTTATTAAAACATAAAACAGAATTTGAGGATAAAGCCTGAGCTACACTGAAGAGATTTATTTCAGATCTGGCTGCCATATACCTGGTTGAGGGGGTGATGGGAGGGGAACAAAAACTGCTTTTTCCAGACCAAAAGCAATCAGCCCTTAGGCCAAGTACATTCACTGGAAAAACAGCAGCAACTTGGTATGGGAAGCAGCATTCTCTTTACTCATGTAATTACAACCTCTGGTGACCTTAGCTAGCAAAATGCTTCACTCCAAAATAAACATCTCCACCATCTCCACACACATGACAAAGGTGCAGCTTAAGCCGCACTCCATGGTTTTAAGCCCCTGGCGCTCCTAACAGTCAAAAGAGAGGCAGAAGTTCTGGGCACACCAGTAAAGATCAGGTCCAATTACAAGAAACAGGAATTTGTTTCAGGTCATGTGGCTGCTCACTGATTATCACAGGCTTGAACAGCCTACAAAATTCCTCCACGTGGAAACCTAATATTTGTACTAGCAACTGGGAAGAATTGTTATCTGGTAGGACTGAGGCCAGCTGCTCAGGTCTCTGTTGTCTCGTGTATGAACAGATTGATGGAAAACAAAAACAAAAGCCCTCAGATTTCAAAACACTCTTTCATAAAAGAAAGAAAAAAAGCGAACAGTAAAATGACTGTGGTAGTAAGACTTATCCCAGAAGTGGGAGCCCTCTTTTTCTTCCTGACTTCCCTAAAAAGGGATGGAGTTGTCCCAGCGTGGTACTAACTCTGCATGTTTCCACAGGTGGACTGACTCTCACAATCATGCATGGATCCCTAAGGCGGGTAGTGCAGAACCAGGCATGTGACCCACATTGACACAATGAGATGCAATCCTAGGGCTTTTGCTGGAACCTTTGAGAAAGAATCTCTTTCTCTGCAGGAGTTGCCAGGTTGGCAGCGTATCAGTCTGAGCCACTGATGGTTATCTTTGTCATCACTTCGGGAAGCTTGCTTAAGAATAAGGGTAAGACAGACGAACCAAATGATATGGTTAAGGTTGATTTCTAGTGACACCATGAAATTACGAGGACCTAGTCATACTGAACTTTTTAAGCCCTGGACTTTCCAAGGTATGTGACATGACTCTCTCTCCTTCCTTTTTGTCTGAAGTGGATTTGAGTCTCTGCCACTTTAAGTCTTTTTCACAGAGTTTATTGAATTCTGCACCCAAAGCCCTAACATGTGTTCACATGTAATTACACATCTTGAAATACTGGTAAAAAAAAAACAACAACAAAAAAGCAGGAGAGAATTCAATTACTTCTCTCTGAACACTTACAAAACAGAGTCCATTTAAATAACACTTCATACAGATCGACTTTCAGTCTGTGTGACCTTTGCAGTATGTAAATAAAGAATCTAAGTCTATTTCCATTTCTGGAATGCTTAACACTATCAGTAAGTGATCAATAAAAGCTAGTTATTACTATGTGTCCAGCTCTATGCTAAGGTCTCTACACATATTATCTCGTTCACTCCTCAGAATAACCACAGAAGTGGGAAGGATTACCATCTCCATCTTAAAGAAGAAGAAATAGAGTTTGGGGAGGTTAAATTAACTGCACAAGATCACAGAACTACTGAGTAGCTGAGCTCAAATTAAAGCCAGCAGATCTGATTCAATGGACTATACTTTTTTTTTTTTTAAGTTGGAGTCTCTATCCATCACCCAGGCTGGAGTGCACTGGCACGTTTATGGCCACCCCAGCGTCAACCTGCTGGGCTCAGGCCATCCTTCTGCCTCAGCCTTCCAAGTAGCTGGAACTACAGGCATGCACTATAACAGTCAGCTAATTTTTTGGTTTATTGTAGAGATGAGGTCTTGCCAAGGTGTCCAGGCTGTTCTCGAACTCGTGGGCTCAGGCAATCCCCCCACCTCGGCCTTCCAAAGTGCTGGGACTACAGGCCTGAGCCACCAAATCCAGCTGGCCTATACTCTTAATTACTAGAAACTATGTCATCAGCTTACTGTAAATATCTTCTTTCAGCCAACTCTACTCCTTACTAATGAGCATATTCTTAAAAGCAAATGCAGGGAATATGCCCAAACAGTAGAAGTGTTCCAAACACCAGTGTTTACCCAGCAAACATGGCAGGTGTCAGTACACAGTAATGCTGGCACTTATCAGAAAGGAATAATATCCATCTTTAGATTGTGGAGATGCCTAAATGAAAAGAGAAAAAGATAAACCATTCTTCACTGGTATATGAAATGCCAAATACTATGTTAGGTACTAAGTTAAGCAACTTTCATGATTGTATTTAGACTTTACCACACAGTCATCCATTTCACAGATAAAGAAATTGAAGTTCAGAGAGACTAAGGAGCCAATTTGTTGAAGTAGAGCTATTAAACAGTTATGTCAGTAAATGAGTGAGCTGTTTCTCAACGTAAAACCTAACTTTTTCTTTCATAGCTCATGCTACCAAGAATGAATATAAGGACTTAAAGATAGAGGCACATGAAGATGGTTATCCAAGGTTAAAGGAGGCTGCCGTCTCTCAAATAAAGGAGGTGGGAGCCTAAAATTCCTTAAACATTTATTCAGGTCGGGCGTGGTGACTCAAGCCCGTAATCCTAGCACTTTGGGAAGCCAAGGTGAGAGGACTGCCTGAGCCCACAGGTTTGAGACCAGCCTGGGCAACTTGACGAGGCCTCATCTCTACAATAAATCAAAAAATTAGCCGGGCGTGATAGTGCATTCCGGTAGTTTCAGCTACTTGGAAGGCTGAGGTAGAAAGATTGCCTGAGCCCAGCAGGTTGGCACTGGGGTGGCCATGAGCATGCCACTACACTTGGGCGATGGAGTAAGACTCCAACTCAAAAAAAACCCCAACAAAACCATTTATTCAAAAAGGAGTTTGGTATGCTCTAGCCAATGGTATATGAAGCCTGAAAACCAAAAACAGGAAAACATTCCCTAAAAGAAGGCATGTAGGCTGGGTACGGTAACTCACACCTAGAACCCCAGCACTTTGGGAGGCCAAGGTGAGAGGATTGCCTGAGCCCGCGGATTCAAGCTCAGCCTGGGCAACTTGGCGAGACCTCCTCTCTACAATAAAATAAAAACATTAGCCAGGCATGGTGGCATGTGCCTGTAGTTCCAGCTACTTTGAAGGCTGAGGCGGAAGAATCACCTGAACCCAGTGGGTCAAGGCTGCGGTAGCCGGAAGTGTGCCATTGCCCTCCAGTCTGGGTGACAGAGTGAGACTCTAACTCAAAAAAAGATAAGGCATGTGCATGGGCACATCCAAAGGACCCACCAAGAGAAAATAAACACCCAACTTGAGGTTCTATCTGGGTCAGGGACACGCACATCAAGAAATGTCTCCAGACTCCTTAGATCCTGTGACAATGGCATGTTGGGAGGCTGACTTCACCCCAGTACATGGTAATTACCTTGGTTTTCACAGAAGACATCATGTGTTCCTCTGCATTTTGTCTGATCCTTCCCCTACTTCTACTTCCCTTTCCATCTTTGTCAGCAATCTGAGGGAGGATAAGCCTTAGAGCCAAAAGTAGATGGTTTGGGTATTGTCGAAATTTGCAGCCCTAGCAAAACCTGATAACATGGGATTAACAGATCATTGCATCTCTAGTGTATAGATATTTCTGGCACCTACCAGCTTCCAAGCTTGGGAAGATGGCCTGAGTCCACATTAGGATTGCCTTCCCAGGTCTCAGCATAGGACATTACATTTCCCCCCAGAGTCATCTGGTGTATCCACCCACCTCTGCTTTTCTCTGCTTCTCTTCCTGCTCTCTCTGCTCCTTCTCCATGCCAACCAGCTTGAGCTTTAGCTCAGACACTTCAGTCATCAGATCGAGCTTCTGGGTCTCAAGAGATGTGCGACTTAGCAGTTCCTGCAAGCAAAAACATATCTCAAAATCAGAAACCACCATTGCAACAAGGACAGCTCTAGATAGGTAAGGGCTTGGGCTGTCACTGGGTCACTCAGGGATAGCAACCCCTGACACCACCCACTGTGCTTTGAAAGACAGTGTGAGTGACAGTTTTCAAAAAAATGTTTGTCCATAGAAACCATTATCCATTACTTTCATGTAGAAAAAAATGAATGAGTACTCTCAAAGAATGACATTCCTCCACCTTTTTACAAGTAAAGCAGCAGATCCTCTCTACCAAACCAAAAACACTTAAATTAACAATATATTTTTCAAAACCAAAATTTCTAGATCACCTTCTGGGCTCAATCAATGCTCAGCCTAATCTTCACCACACCTCAATGCAATGAACCTACACAGAGTTAAGAACACAAAGCAGATGCTCAGAGAGAGATTTATCGAATGATTACACTAGAATCTTACTATGTGAGATGAATCTTTCCTCAGCTATATCAAAATTACAATTTGGAGCCCGGCTCGGTGGCTCAGCCTGTAATCCCGTGCCTTTGGGAGGCTGAGGTGAATGGATTGCCTGAGCCCGCGGGTTCGAGACTCGCCTGGGCAGCGAGACCTCATCTCTACAATAAATCAAAAAATCAGCCGGGCGTGGTAGTGCATGCCTATAATTCTGGCTACTTGGAAGGCTGAGGCGGAAGGATCGCCGGAGCCCAGCAGGTCGAGGCTGCGGTGGCCAGGAGCGGCCACTGCACTCCAGTCTGGGCGACAGAGTGAGACTCCAACTCAAAAAACAAAAACAAAAACAAAAACAAAATTACAATTTGGCAACTATGGGATACAAACAAAAAGACTGTTGTTTCCTGATCGTGAGGACAGACCAAGGAGGTTATTACTAGCCCTGCCATCACTAGAACAGTGGCAGACCACAATCAGATATCTCAGGTCCTTGAAACAAACCTGTCACTAATACATACACTTAATGAGCGTAAACAAGATAAACAACAAAGGAGATAGGCAAGACACCTACTTAGGACTACTAAGATGTATAAAGGACCCCCAAAACCAGAAGCATTTCCCAAAGTCCAGAGCAACATACTTCTCCATTGGCAAATGGCCATGTCCTATGAGGTCCAAGATCCTGGCACATGGCAGACACTGGCTACAAAGGTTCTGGCAAGAATACACCCAGCAATCAGGAAAGCAACAGCACAAATGAACAGAAGGGAAAGATACTCACATACTTAAGATATTCATGTCTTAAGTATGTAAATATCTTGGGTAACCCAACTCCAGCACGGCGATTTCAACATACTGAACCTATATCTATGAGCACACAGATTCAAAACTGTCCTCAGTTTATGAATCAAACTACACAGGGCAAAGATTATGACTTGGAATACACAATTCCGTAGGCTGAAGCTCCAGGACCTGGGAGAGGTAGGCTACAAAACCTGTGCATCTGCTAATTTGAGTGCATGAGTATCTAGACCTCTAATAGCTCAGCAAATGAGCTCCCTGAGTACTGGGCCAGTCAGACTGCCCTCACAGGGCAGAGGCAGCGCGCTGCAGCCAGAGCTGTGGGTACTTGGTCACAAGGAGTCAGCCAGGTGAGTGTGTCCAATGCAATGGACACTTGGATTTGTTGAGTGCCTCCTCTGTGCTAGACTCTGCTGGTGCTCTTACATACATTCTCTTAATAAACCTTCCCAGTGAGTTGACAGTATTATAATCCCAGTTTTACAGATGAGGAAACAGACCCAGAGAAGGCAAACAAATCCTTTGGTCAAAGACACATGCCAATCGACAGCAGAGTTAGTTTTCAAACCAAGATCTGTTTGACTCCAGAATTCATTTCTAATGAATCACATTGCTTCTCAAACAGGAAAAGAAGTCACATATTTGAAGGGATATTTTTTTAAATGCTAAAAAAAAAAAATCAACAAACAGTGAGCCCAGGAAATGTCCACTCAAATCGACAAGATTTTATTGAGCATATACTCTCTACCAGGGCCAGTGCTAAGGCTATGCAGGCCATAAAGGATCTTTAGCAGTTCTTCCCCTGGCGTGAGGGCACAGGAAATGAGTTCTCTGTGTGTTAAGTATGTGAATATCTCCCTCCCACCCCCTCTTTCTTTCTCTACCTTTCTCTCTCCCTCTACTACCTCATTCTCTATCTATCCTTTCATCTATCTGCCCTATTCCAAAAATGACTGAAAAAAAAAAAATTAAAGTAGAAAAAAAAAAAGTTGAAGCCAGAGTTACAGTTGGTAGACAACCTATGCCATTAAGCTACAGATGGACTATAATGTGTATGTGAGCTCTCAGCTGCCAATGCAAACGGGGAAAGGAACACATACACAAACCAAGGTCCTTAAGATAGTAACATCTTGCCTGAGCCCGCGGGTTCGAGACCCGCCTGGGCAACTTGGCAAGACCTCATCTCTACAATAAATCAAAAAATCAGCCAGGCATGGTAGTGTGTGCCTGTAATTCTGGCTACTTGGAAGGCTGAGGCGGAAGGATCGCTGGAGCCCGGCAGGTCAAGGCTGCGGTGGCTGGGAGCAGCCACTGCACTCCAGTGTGGGCGACAGAGTGAGATTCCAACTCAAAAAAAAAAAAAAAAAGATAGTAACATCTTAAACTCCTCCATGAGACTGCATTCTAATGCAGTAGTATTCAGTTATACTACATCCCCCCCCAGCCCTCGCCCCCAAATACACAGATAGTAACAATTTATTTGGAGTACTGAGATCTGTGGGACAAATTCCTCCATGAGGCTTCATTCATTTATTCAATAAATATGTTTTTAAATACCTACCAGATGCCAATGACTGGGACATGACAGTTAAAGATGCAGCCCTTGTCGAGTATTTTAAGATGATATTCATGCAGTTTTGTTTTCTGATTAGCATTCAAGATATTGTTTTAGTGGGATTCAAAAAGATCTCAAAATGTATCCTTTTTGAGAGCTAAGAGTTTACTCTGCTTCCTTCACTGCCAACATCACTTTTTTTTTTTTTTTTTAATGAGAAAGCAGGATTTATTGAGAGGTCAGAAAAGCTCCCACAGTGGGAGGGGACACGAGGGGGTTGCCTACCTCTAGCTGTGTTAACTACCAGGTTGTAATTGTCATACCAGTGTCTTAGCTGATGAGGATATTTTAATTGGTTCCAATAGCCATTCCAATTGGTCATGTCAGTGTTTTAATTGGATCCCCCTAACATTCCAGATGGAAATTCACAATTGGACACACTCAAGTTTTAATTAGAAACCCAAGGTTGTTAATTTCACATAGTTCACTAATAATAAAACTTTTGCTGACTCATTTCTAGCTTGTATCTACTAGCATGTGCTTCTACCCTTCATGATCATCTCCCACTTGTCCTTGCCATCAACAATTATCATTCTAGTTCCTAATTCAAAAGCAGCCTTCAGCAAACTTATCCCAATCCAGCTCTACTTCCTCATCTCCAGATCCAGCAAGGTCCCAAGCCACTATTATATATATAGCAATTTCTAAAACACGTGTTTTCATAGGAATTAACTACCCTACATCCTCAACTGCTCCATCTATTCCCAACATAACTTTTGAACAATATGAAACATTTTCCCCAGTCATTTCAAGTGAAGACCACTGTTTCCACCAACCCAACTCACAGAACACCTTTCTCCTGTTTCAGGACTGCTTCCAGACCATTATTTGTCACTACTGATTGTCCATATCTACCATCCTATTCTAATGCAGCAGTATTCAGTTATACCACATCCCCCCCAACCCCCGCCCCCAAATACACAGAATCAAGACAGTTCCTCACTTTCCTTGAGGTTTCTGTTTTTCTATCAACAGCTTCTTTACCTACTTTGGGTACATTCCGTCTCCTAAGTAGCTTCAACATCCTTGTTAATGACTCTTCCGTGTAGTGTCCACTCTGGATTTATACTCCTTGACCTCGGCTTCAGCAGGCTTTTCTTTCACTTCACTTCAGGTTCTCAACAGCAGGACTGCAACTTGCCTCTCATCCTTATCCCGAACGTGTTTGCTTTGCTTCTAAAGCTTCAGCTCTGAAATTCCCTCCTCTGGCCACAATCTTCTGACCTTTCATCTGTCCCATTTGCTCACTCAACCTCTAATTTTTTCTCCTGTGGCCTCTAGTTATTTAATAACTCCCTACCTTTCTTGTTTATCAACATTCTTTAAATAATATTTGTCTTCCTTAATCCACTCTATATCTTGAAATTAATAATTTCAACTGTACTCCTATCTACACCAGAAAATCCTTCACTCAAACTCAACCCTGCTCCCAGACCTGATGTACATTTGTTTCTCACAGCCCCATACATACCACATCTCAGTCTTTTGTCTGTTTCCACTCCTCCATGGCCCAAGAATTGCTAGTCAAAGTCACTTAATGATGTCAAGTGTATGCTATGTGATAACAGCTTATCTTCCAATACTGCCTAGCAAAACTTGTTTTCTTCTCTGGTCGATACTATTCAGAGATTGTTCCAAATCTTTTCTATTCTTTGCAAGCCCTAAGTCCCTTCCCCTCTTTCCTCAAATAACCTCTCCTCATATTTACTGAAAGACAAAAATCATCTGATCATTCATTGAACTTAAGTTCTTTCTGTTTCAAAGTTTCCCAGAACCAACTCTCATACATATCTCTTAAATTCCTGTTTTAGAGAAAACAAGCCCACAGCTCCTTTCTAAGGCTAACCTGCCACAATTGCACATTGCCAATTTCTCTGTCAGTTTATTTCACCTCTTAAAACTGTTCCCTAGACCAGTACACTTTGTTCGCACATAAAGAGCAGAAGTCAAAGGATATAATGCTTTCAGAATTTGTTCCTAAATTGTCTCATCTGACTGACCTTCCTGTCTTCAGCCATTTCTCAGTCTCCAGACTTCATATATCCCTATACAAATTGGTTAACCAGCAGCATCTGGCTTTGTTCTCCAAGTTCTGGTCCTGTTTCTCTCTCTAGGTAGTAACTCAGAATGA